TAATTCTGAAATGACGCACAAAAACAAATGTTTATCTACTTAGAAATAGATTCAAATCTGTTTGGATTTGTTTGAAGATGTCCAATGCTGTAAAGATGCTTCGAGCGGCGTGCGGTGTATAAGAAAATAAGGCAGTAGCGCTTTAAAGTTTTTAAGTGCCTGCCTAACATCATAAGTTCCATCACTGTGAGTGCAGCCTTGTTTCTACTGCATAAAAGTGGCGTATCTGTGACGAATGGGGCGCGATAATATACTGTGTAGGTGTGAACTAACAGAGATAAGGGTCGAGAAAGTTACTACTTCTTTTATTCATTAATTTAACTAAATTGCAAGAAAAGCGCATGCGCCTCTGTAAATGCATATTAATATAAACACGCAAGTAAATTACTTATATGTATAAATATCAATTTGTAATCTCTATTTACCTATAAATATCTGAAAGATAATTAAAAATACCCAAGCTTCTTATCTGGTCTTAGACCTTAGGCTTGTCTAAACCGGATACCTACCTAAGTGTTTAGTACAAATAACTACGATTAGAAAAAAATCCCCTGAAATAGTTAATAAACTACGTATTAAAAAATTATGAATGCGTTTAATTAGCCTAATTTTCTATGGAACTGATATTTAATTTGATTAAGCTTATCTTTAGATAAGAATTGAAAATTGAAAAATATTGATGACGAAAAATCATAAGTAGTCGTATAGGCGAAAAATAATAAATATAATCGAAATTAAAGTACATATAGCGTTTTACTAGTTGAAGTACTTATGGAAAACGGTACATTGCAACTACAGGCTAAGGCTAGCTTCCTACAGAACCAGTTCCGGAAGGCTTCATTGTCTGCATGTGGGGCATCTGGGGTCAAACGAATGTTGCTATACCAGTCCTGGAAGGATCTAGATGGCCCTTTAGCGTTCCATGACTCTATGCTCCTATTTATGTTATGTTGGGTTACCTACGTGAGTGCGACAAACGTTACATCGAATTTTGTTTCTTCGAAAACCTTTCTGCGAAGTTACTATACTGCGACGCCTTGTTATATCGATGCCTTGTTACTGCGATGTTACGTTACATCGAAAAACTTTACTGCGAACGATTTTATAGTCGTATTTTATAATTTATTTATATTTATGTTTCTATTCTTATGTTATTTAATCAAAGATGTAACTGTTAAATATATGTAATAAGTAAATAAAATGTAATGTATTTATAATCTTATTTCATCTATAATTATGTACCGCCCACTTTATTCTATGTATGTATGTAAGTAATTTCATTTTTTCAANGCGATGTTACGTTACATCGAAAAACTTTACTGCGAACGATTTTATAGTCGTATTTTATAATTTATTTATATTTATGTTTCTATTCTTATGTTATTTAATCAAAGATGTAACTGTTAAATATATGTAATAAGTAAATAAAATGTAATGTATTTATAATCTTATTTCATCTATAATTATGTACCGCCCACTTTATTCTATGTATGTATGTAAGTAATTTCATTTTTTCAACTATCTGCTAAGTCAAATAAAGAAGGCTTCGCAGTAAAATCGTTCGCAGTAAAGTTTTTCGATGTAACGTAACATCGCAGTAACAAGGCATCGATATAACAAGGCGTCGCAGTATAGTAACTTCGCAGAAAGGTTTTCGAAGAAACAAAATTCGATGTAACGTTTGTCGCACTCACGTAGGTAACCCATTTATGTTTATATGATACAGTTCTTGTAAGAAACGGTGTAGTTTTCATGATTTAGAATTCCAAACCCGTCTTTTTCGCAGTTCAGTTATAGACTCTACATAATATTTTGAATTAAGTTACAATTTACCTTAGTTCCCTAATTAACTTAAAAAGACTGTTATTTTTCTTCGAATTTAAAGAAAATTACATTTGTGCCGTAAGTTTTACATTGGCCTTTACAATTTATAGATTTACCTTTCATGTTATGAATTCTGAAGAGCTGGTCGCGAATCAATGCAACTGTATTTTTATGATCGAGCCAGTTAGTTTTATCGCCGCCGCAATAAATTCGCCGCGCTACGGCCAGGACATTGTTATAAATACATTAAATAATAGTAATATCAACGTTTACATTCTGAAAATTACAGAAAGCTTATAACTTCGTAGTATTGCACTGATTAAAAATGGAAATTTAACTGCGTTTGAGGATAAAAAAGCATTTTTTCACTAAATAACATACGCAATTGTTTGTTTATAGATAAGTCTATAAATACGTTAACACCTTTAACGCAATCGCTTCCATTGGCATGCTAACTAAGATTATCCAAATCACGTCGTATTGCGTCCACATTCAATGTAAAGTGGGATAATATTTAACAGTATAATGTGAATAATAATGTTATTATCCACACTTGATAGTGGTAATTTTGGTCACTACTTTCTTAGTAATTAATAGGGTTAGAGTTTTTTACAGCAATATTTAGTACATTTCGCTCTACTTATAGAGCGATCCTATTCCCGCCAGCCATAAAAGGTATGTATACGATTTTCATATACATATTATATCAATGTTGTTAACATGTGTTACTTATGGACAGCTTAGTGTAGCAGCTGCTAGAAAATTTTGTTATCCTCTTGTTGGCAAATAAAATATTTTTTACTTTTACTTTACTTAATATTTCTCTAACAACTGGTGTATCTCGCTAAAACTATGTCATCGCGCGGTAGCGAGCAGTCGTTTGGTTTAATTTAAAACAATAAAGTCGATTGGCGGCGCGGGCGCAGATTTGAGGGGATATCTCGTGACCCACGGACATGGACGATTTGCTAATATTTCTGGGGCTTTCGTTTGGTGCGAAGGAAATGGGTTTAAAAGTTTCCTTTCAGCCGTTATTGATAATTTGGTATTCAATATAAAGGTGGTGATTGATCTCTGGCTCGAGTAGTGCAGAAGGTTTAATCATTACAACCATATTTATCATTTATTAATCGTTAATGGCACCATCGGCATCATCATTTCAACCAACGACATTCTGGCTGGACTGGACGTAAAAGCTTCACAATTTAATGTATTGTAGAAATGTACCAAGTAAAGTGCAAAGGTACTGTTGGTATTTGGTTAAAAAAGTTATGCGTCCTTGACACAATACAATTTCCGATTTGCAATTTGTAGCGGTGCCACAATTAACCATGGATAGTTTTTTGTTTCCGATTTCTAAATAAGATGTCGACTTTTCTAGTAAGATTTGAAGTGGTTGCTTTTGAGATTTAAAAAATATTGTAATTACGAAGTTAAATACAGTGTGTGACAAGAACTAATAATGTATAATGTAAGTCTTGATTGGTTCCAATCACAGGTTCCTATACTCGTAATAAAAATTTTCTATCATTTTTATCAATTTTATTTGTAAATGGATATTGACCTGATAAAGATGATAAAAAAGGCGTAGATAAAGGGAGGCAGTTCAGCGATGGACGTCCTTAAGTTGAGATAACCCTGAGATAAATACACAAAGAATGTGGTTCATTGAAATATTAGTTAATTTGTTTATAATACAAGGATAACATTAAAATACACTGATTTATTAACTAAAAGGGAACTCAATTAAGTCATAACCTGCTACTATATCTACACCGGTAACAATCATCGAAATGCATCATAAATAAAGTAATTTCATAAAAGATTGCGCATGCGGTATGCAAACAAGCTTTAAGTAATTACACATAAAAAAGTCCCACAGAACGTAACCGGCACGTAACGCGTACGTGACGCGCGCGTTACGTTGTGTTACACACGAGGTCGCGTGCGCCGGAGTGCTGAATATCGATGTTTATTACTTGTCGATTTAATAAGTGATGATTCGATTCCACAGGGCATCGATGCAAATTTAGTGTATTGTCATACAATTAAGTAGTGTTGTGTTGGGTTGAATATCATTCGTCGATAAATATCATTAATTAAAGTATTTTAAGCTTTGTGTTACAAGACCACAATAGGGCCTGCTGTGCTGGTTTCAGATGCTGCATCAGCTCTCCAGACCGATGGGTATCTATGCAAGTCAATGCATTTTCCTGATGCATTAAAGGGTTCAACGATAGTGTGATGAGTAGGTACGAGTAGTAAAATATCTGTTCATAATTTCAAATGACGTATAATATGTATAATTGTGTTCGTAAACTTCTTCGTCTATATCACTGCTTTACTATACTACTGCACTATCTAAGTAATCTACACCCAGAACAATAGTTGCAGACAATCGTCATTGTGAACTTTTAATAGTATTGGCACTAACTACGAATTTTATTAATAGGTTACCAACTTCTTTATTTCACGATATAGTATCTACCTACGTGGAACGTAAAAAATATAAATATAATGTAATAATGTATAAATATCATTAACTATTACACTTTGGTTGTAACTGCTCGTGCTTATCTACCTATCACACTAACATTAAAATATTTTTCCCTCGAACCTCTAACCGCAGCTGTTTTTAGTCCGAAATATGATTTTTACTCGCCTCTATCTTTTACTAAGTTATCATTGCTATCAGAGAAGTGTCAATTTTGTATAAATAAATAGTTAACTATACTGCCTCCTTGGTCGACTGATAGACAACTTTGTAAGATTGTTATCATTTTTATCACTGTGATGTAACTAAAGTTTCTATTTAGTTATGATAAGTAGCCGAACGTTAACCCCAACATAACCCTGTCTGCTACCAAAAATAAATATTTAAGGCAGTTTAATATTAGTTGCTTGTTACTAATTTCATATTACCTAATGCCTAATTACTTACACTCTTATTTAAATAGGTAGTCAACAAAGATAAGATTAATATTGTATTAAATCAAAACAAAACTAAACTAAACTGGATTTAAAACGAGTTGAATATCAAAATAGTACCAAACAAACAACATAACATAAGTACCATTCACTTTTTTAAATAATAACCAACCTCACGTTTATCAAGGACGATCTTCATCATAAGTTAAACAGAGCTTAATTACTACTTATTTTAAAAAGAAACTCACCAAAACTTTAAGTTCAGGTAACACTGGCAAATAATAGGTCCTTCTCAGGATAAAAAAAAAGTTTTAATAACACTCGCGGACACGCGCGTAAATTAAAAATAAATCGTTTGACAGCTGCTGTCAGAAATTGGCGCGAACGTGCTCGTGGTGTGGCGAGCGGCGGCGATGTGGCGCGCTTGGAGCAATCACGGACACTTGCGCAAACGCAGCGAGCGGGCATTGCGGTTTGACTTATCGTAGTTACTTTTAACACAATAAAATTAATTAGATACCTAGTTACAATGTAGGTAAATGCATACTTGTTAGTTTGGTGTTATTTAGGTAGGTATTTGAAATAAAAATGTAGAAAAGTTCCTGTTCCTTAATAAGCTCTATCAAAAAATACTTTTTTTATTTAGAGCTTTTATATGCCTAAAGTTCAGTATTGCCGCCAATAACGCTAAAATTGCCTCTACATTACAATTTAAACAGGCGCTATAATAATATTTTAGATTTCCAGTTAGGCTTCTTTCTATGCAATTAACGAAAAATTAGCATTAATGCATCAAACTATTTCTAATATTTGATAAGGGATACATTCATTTATTAGAACAATATTGGCAAAAGATCTATTTAGTATTAGTGTCACACTTTACTAATCCACCAAAGCAGAATTCAAATGCATTGTTGGAGGCGGAAGTGATGTAACATGATGTTTATTTATGATCCTATGTTCAAGTACTTAAGTACCTACAACTTTTAAATAAGTACTTTGATCGTTGTGACTATTTTCGATTCGCAATGATTACTGTGTTGTCAGGCAATCAATATTATAAGCCTTTTCTAACTTAACAATTTTGCCATAAACACTGTAATCATCAAGTTATAAAAGATAAGTGAATGCTTTGTTGATTAGATGTTGTCGAATTTTGTCCTTTATTAAATGAAGAAAGAAGTCATATAAATCAATCAATTTATATATAAAAGTTATCGACGAGCTTTCCGGAAAATACCACTTTAGTAGATATCACAATAATATGTATCTGAAGTGACTGAAGCCACTGTTGCAAAAGTTTAAATAAATAAAGTGACATAACCCGCTTGCTTTATAATAAGTATGTAATACGTTCACACAATTAATTTTCAACACCATAAAACAATGGAGTTATCCTCCCATCACTCTCCGCGAGATATTTCCTAATAAACTCCCATTTATACAACCTACTCTACTGCCAAATGATCTCTCAAGTCCGGAATACTGAGCAATAGAAGTTATTACAACGATGGTAATGCCATCAAGTGTCTTAAGAAATTAGTTTAAATTGCAGTAAATAACAGTGATGTACAGTAAACACGGGACAGGTTGATTTATATAAGTGAATTCACAAGGGATACGGTCTCAATAACTTAGTTTTTTACAGCAGACATTATAAGTCACACTTTAAAAACAATTGTTTTACTCTTCAATTGCTAGCTTTCTTTATGCTATGTAATTTCCATTGTATTATAAGAGGTTTATTAATGAAACTTAATTATGTTAGAGCTTATTTACCTAAATAGTCTAAATACTTAATTAAACACAAATGCAAAAAATCGCGAATGTTTAAGACACTAATGGGTTAGGGCAATTTACTTAGAGCATGGTCAAACACCCTCTTTAAGGTTCTTTCTATTATCATATACTTCAGGATTTTTTAGAATTGAGTAACTACGTCATCGTATTTTATATGTTATATGCAGTTCTGAAAAATATTTACAGGAAATGTGTTAGTTTTGTAATTCCCGAAGACAATAAATAAACTGCTTATACATGGAACTAACTGGGATATAACGTTTTGCGACTACGAGTATATTATAGAGATTGGCACCTTCAAGTAAAAGTAGCGTGACAACATGGTAGAGACCTTAAGTTTCGAATAAGTTAGAATAATTCCAGCTAGATATCGGGTACATTATTAAAAAGTCACGCTCCATTATAGATCACATCTAATCAAGATTCTTTTGAAGATGCACATAAATTTGAAATACCTTTTTTCAATTCAAATAAAAAGAAGACTAAACCGTGTCTAAACTTTTTCAAATCATAATAAAAAAAGACTCACCGTGTCTTAGAAGCACAAATCCGACAACAGTTCCTAGCGGTGTCCGCGTCGAACGCTATAGCGATAGTGGGCTCCTATCTAAGACTGCTTTTATATATTATCAAAATCATTGCTAATTGAGCGTATCATTAATAAATTAATGATAATGACATTCAGACTTCATCCCAGCGGAACATCGTGGGATTTGTCTGGAGATTATATTGATAGGATTAGAGTTGTCTTGTTGACTTGCCATCATAATTTGTACATACCTACTTGCTCACCTACCTGGTTGATGTAGGTAGAGCTTCCTCACAGAGGCTTGCATCGTATACATCGTAATAAACAATAGGTACCTCTAAAAGATAGAAACCATAAAATCCCGATGTAAGTAATTGTAGTGGTGCCATTAAAGTTAAAATAATCAAGATCTAGATCCTATCGCCCCCATGAATGCAATCTTACTTGAAACGCGCGCGCCTACCGTGCTTTTGTAGCAAAGTTTCCATGCAGCATATTAAGCATGGATGGAACTAAGAAAGTACTAATAAGTAAGAAGGAACTAAGAAACATTGAATTTCTTAATAAGGAATTATTTTATTTTGGTAGCTAAATTGTGATAAAATAAGTAGAAAGTGCTAAAAGCTTTCATCATTATTATTATTTGATAGCGACGTATCTAAACAATACTAGAAACTAATAGGCTACTTTTATCTCATTCTTAAGGTTTCATACTTTTATCTTATAAACGAACCAATCACAGAGCTGTATTCAACGCTGTGCGTTCGATTTGCTGTTTTACATAAGCAAGCATCGTTTCTTAAATACATTTTAATTAATCTACATTAACTAAAGTATTTACGTGCGTATTTTTGCCAATTCTGGGATAAACAATGGCCTTGGAATTATTTCGGCTACACGCGATGCATATTTTTGCATACACGTTGCTTTTAAAATGAATTTCAATACGTGCACTGTTTATCGAACATGCAGCTGTTTCTCAGATCATTATGCCTGTAATTTAATGTGCTTAGATCATTTGTCTACGGAAAACCCGTAGCAAAAATAGCTAGCTACTACGAAACAAGCCACGACGTTTAAATATTCTATGTACGACGTTTATTCGAGTAATTTACTTTAATAATAAACATGTAATGTTTGTTTTCCAATTTTTGAGCACAAATATTTAGAAAAATATAGGAAGTTTACTTTAAATAGTCAGTGCGTTATGTATATTTTTTTACTAATTTCAAAATTTTTCTCGTCTCATACAAAAAAATCGGCAGGCAAATCGATTATTCAGTAACCTAAACAAGTATTACACCATCTGAAGCTCGCTGAAGAAGTAAGACAGCGACTTTCAATTTGTGTGAAATTTTCGATAACAACTACAGGGCAATGAAGGGTTGTAGTTACGGTAATGAACTCTACCTACCAAGTAAGCAGTAACTTATTTTATTTGGTCTATTTCGGTCCACTTTGATCACCTGGATTTGATCACTCGGGTGATCAAAGTGGACAACTCTACTTATTCTGCCCGATAGTTAAGAGGGCGCATGTAACATTAAATTAAAACGTTGATAAAAAGATTTAAATTCTCAAATGTTTATTTGTTCTCTGTCCTTCAAATACGAAAAAATGCGTTCAGTATTGCTGTACACAGTTTTAAGTTATCTAAAAAAATTTAATGTATTCGCTGATAAGAGTCTCATTAAAGATAATCACATTAGATGTTGACTGATGATAATTTAATGATTCAATGCATCCCTTGTCTTCCTTTATCAGATAGTAATTAATAGTAAATATTAATAAATCTGCATATTTCTAAGCAGATAACGTATAAAGCATCGATGCATCTTGATTAAGATTTATTGCGGGCTCTACAACATTGACTTTGTTCGCTTATCTGGCATTCTGATTAAATAAAAAATATAAACTTGCTTATCTATTTACACGAGGAACCTAATCAATAGTGTGAATTGTGTAAATTTTCCTCCTTATTATTTTATTTATTATTTTCCTGTGACTTAAGATGACGCCAAGTTTAGGAGTTGGTAGTTTGGGACACACAAAAAGCGACAGCGAGTAGTTTGTTGTACTAATTTTTGCTTACTGCTTGCCAACGGAGGTGATCGATTCCACAAGCCCTCATGGCTTGAATCGACCTAATAGTTGGATAAGTTGACCCTTGTCTTTTTGCTTGACCTCTAAAGATGAGCTCAGTAGCTTTGCTCTATCTTTAATTCTAATTAGCGTTAAGGTTTCAATAATTGCCATAAATTTTTAGGTAACTTAGCACAACAAAAATCGTTTGGTAGAGGTACAGTAGTACAAGTAACAGGTAGAGACAGTGTTTGTCTTACCTGTGACGTCATCCTATTCAATTAACACTTCATTTCACATTTATCACTCGTTCCAGAACCACATACATTTTCACAATTTTGTACGAATATACCTATATTTCACTCGTAAGACTTCGTGTTGGTTATCATGATATCGCGCGCGAACGCATGTTTTAGGCTAAAGCGTGTCGACTGGTGCGCCGGCGCTGGCGCTGCGACTAATCTCCTGTGTTGGGCTTTCAAGAGACGTGCGCAAATTTTCCGTGTGCAATAAATAGAAAAGCAAACAGCAAGTGAAATTAACAGGGCTCTATGGTTCTCACAGACTGAAGGCATGAATTGGCCACTTACTTTTTCGAAAAACGATTCTGTGCTTTAGAGGGCAGTTTGGCATGTATCCAAAAATTTATATAGTCTTTTACGCACACTCCGGCGGCATACACACACACACACACACACACACACACACACAGCGGCGCTGGACCGGTCTTTGTGGAAATCCTTGGGGGAGGCCTTTGTCCAGCAGTGGACGTCTTTTGGCTGAAACGAACGAACGCACACTCCACCAGTAAATACACATTCGTATCGCATCGCTACCGTACAAAACAGTGTGGGGTCGTAAAGTGTAACATTATGTAGAAACCTACATAACAACATGTTGGTAATCCTTTCCATCCTGTTATGTACCAAATAAAGAAAAAAGCAAGAGAAGAAATATTACTGATTCTTATTTATATGATACTTGGTTTACCAAAATAATGAATGGAATTGCCATTAGGTAGG